TGAATATATCAGATAATAAGTCATCTGATGTCTGAAGGGTACTTAAAATCTCTCTGCCAAAGTAGATGTCTCCTAAAGATTGTTTCTGGACACAACACATCACTAATATCTCTTCATTTGATACTCAAGGTTTTCAAGAATAAACACACTAAACAGTGTAGAAAAACAAGAATTTAAATAGCTTTCTTTAAATTTTAGTGTTTCATTTGTGCTATTTTACTATAAAATAAAAGTGTAAAGAAATTTTAAAAGTGTAAGCAAATTTTAAAAAATGAAAGGAGCATCTGTTGGATGCTCAATGTATCTTACGTTTATTCAAGTAGTTTAGACTAACTTATCTTACTAAAATCTCTACATTTTATGTGAGATAACTGAGAGGAAGGTTAAGTAATTTGCCCAGTTTCTCACCTCGTTAATGGCAAAGATGGAAATTAACCCAAATAAAAAGGGCTGCAAATGTTTGCTCCCCATACCAGGGTCATGGGACATTGCAAAGGTGAGGACTGCACCAAATGATTACAGAAATACATTTTTTCCTAATGTCCAGAAAACATTTATTTAAAAAAAAAAAGACTGTATTTGATCCATAAAAAACAAGTCTTAACACATTTCAAAGGATTGCACTCAGAATATAATTTCTGATGATATTGCAACTATGTTGTAGTTGTTAATATCATTTTCAGTAACCCATGGACAAAAGAAATTATAAAAGTTAGAAAACATTTTAAATTGAATCATAATGAAGCTGCATGTGGTGGCACACACCTGTGATCCTAGCACCCAGGAGGCAGAAGCAGGAAGATCACAGTTTGAGCCCAGGGCATGGGCTACATAGTGAGTTCAAGGCCAACCTGAACTACATAGCAAGCCCCTATCTATAAATAAGTAAATGAAAGAAAGAGAGAAAGAAAGAAAGAAAGAAAGAAAGAAAGAAAGAAAGAAAGAAAGAAAGAAAGGATATCATAATGAAAATAAATACATTAAACACATAGGATGCAGCAAAATCAGTAATTGGAGGGAAATAACTAGGCTTAAAATGTGTATTTCAGGTGGGGAAGCCTAAAAAAGGAAAGATCAAGAATATATTTTAACAAAATAAAATCAAAGGAATAACATCAGCAAAGCAGTGGAGTAGAAAATCCTAGAGCCACCTTTTGTCCAAAAGCACATCAAACCACCAGTGATTTATATACAAATTTTCTTTTTAAGCAGGGAGGAACTGCTGTCTAAGAGAATGCAAAACCACATTCCCCAAAGCTGCTTTGGAGATTCAGGACACCGTTTAGCCGGAGAGCTATCCCATGGTATACCACCGTACAATCAGGAAGAGACCCACTTCAATTCCAGTTTCACCCAGGAGAAGCTGCAGTTCACATATCTGGTTCCCAAAATTTTCCAAAGCTTCTTATAGAATAGACACCTTTATCTGGTGTGCATGCTGGGGATATAGCTCAGTGGTGTAAGGGCCTGCCTGGCAAGTGCTAGGTCACGAGTTTGATCCCCAGTACCACAAAAAAAAAACCTCTATCTGGTGTGCAGACACCAACAGAGAGTCATGGAAAGGAAAGAAACAGAGAAAGATGTTCCAAACACAGGCACAAGATAATCTCCAGAAACTGACCCTAATGAAACAGAATTCAAAATATCTGTCATAAAGATGATAATAGCTGAACTGAATAATTCACTAGAGTGGCTGAATAGTAGACTAGGTCAAACAGGAAAAGATAAGGAATCATAAAGACAGGTCACAAGACATAATTCAGTAAGAGGAGCAAAAAGAGAAGAGTGAAGAATGGTTAAGGGAATTATGGATACAGGTGGCGCACACCTGTAATCCTAGCACTCAGAAGGCTGAGGCAGGAGGATCGTTGTGAGTTCGAGACCAGCCTGGGCTACAAAGTGAGCTCAAGGCCAGCCTGAACTGCATAGCAAGACCCTGTCTCAAAAAGACAAAAAAAATAATAATAATAATAATAATCGTTAATAATAATAATAAAATATTAATAATAATAATAAAATTAATAAATAATAATAAAATAATAATAATCATGCAGATAATTTCTCTGAACATGATGGAAAGAAACTAGAAATCAATCACAAAAGGAAAACCGGAAAATTTATAAATAATGTGGAAATTAAACAGTATATTCTTGAATAACCGTTGAGTTAAAGAGATCAAAAGGAAATTAGAAAATATCTTAAAAACTAAACCACAAAAGTTTTGGAATACAGCAAAAGCAGTACAAAGGGAAGTTTATACTGATAAATGCCTATATTAAAAGAAGAAAGAACTCAAACAACTTAATGTTATACCTCAAAAAGTTAGAAAAAGAATAAACCAAGCCCTAGTTTGGCTGAAGGAAAAAAAAAAAAAAAGGTCAGAACATAAACAAATGAGATAGAAAAGTATTTTTTTAAAAAGGGCAGCAAATCTAAGAGTTTTATTGAAAGATGAGCAAAATTAAACTAAGAAAAACTCAAAATTAGAAATGTGTACATACAACATCAGTAAAAAAAATGAAGACACACACATATTGAGAGACGTCCTTTGCTTATGAGTTAGACTTTTATTAAGTGTTGATAAAAGTGATCTGTAAATTCAGTGCAGTCCCAATAAAAATTCCAAACGCAGTTTTTACAGAAATAGAAATAAAATTCTAACATTCATGTGAAATGACAAAAAGACCAAAAATAGCCAAATCAATCTTAAGATGGAAAAACTAAACTGAAGACCCTTCCTTATTTTAAAATATATTACTGCCAGGTGTGGTGGTTATGTTCCTGTTGTCCCAGCTACTTGGGAAACTGGGGCAGGAGGATCATGTGAGTCCAGGAATTTCAGGCCAGCCTAGGCAACATAGCAAGAGCCTGTCTTTAAAAAAAAAAAAAGGTAGACTATCAGTATTAGGATGTCCTGTTGAAAGATTAAAGGACAAAAGCAATTAAGTGATACAAAAAAAATTTCAACTCATTATTTTAAAACATCTCTTAAAACTAAAATTAGAAGGGATCTTTTTACTCTGATAAAGATTATTTTGAAATATCTATGGTAGATCTGGGGGTTTTGCTCATAGAGAATATGTGTAGCATGCATGAGGCCCTGGGTTTGATCCCCAGCACCAAAAAACAATAAAATGGTAGTAACATTACACTTAATGGTGAACCATTGTAGCTTTCCATTTGAGATTAGGCATGAGATAAAAATATCTTTTATTTGTTTTGTTACTGTTTTTTGAGACAGGGTCTCACTGTGTTGTCCAGGCTGGCCTCAAACTCACAGAGATCTTCCTGCCTCAGCCTGCCAAGTGCTGGGATTATAGGTGTGTACCACCACACTTGGCTACAGTGTCTTTTATTACCAATTCTATTCCTGAGAATTTTGGCCTATCCTGTTAGGGAAGAAAAATAAAATTATTGAAAACAGTATAATCTATCATATTATAAAATATCAGAATATAATATATATTTTATAATATATCATATTATAAAATATCAGAAAACAGTAGCTTTTTAAGTCATACCTTGCTGTTTATATACCTTAGAGAATCTTTGGAACTGTACATTATGATGTAAGTTCATAGTAGTGAAAATGTTCAAAAATGTTCAATAAATGCATTGTAGTTAAATAAACTGGGGTATTTTCAACCAATTAAATAATATGTAGCAACTGGGGCAGGGGTGTAGTTTAGTGACAAAGTACATGCTTGGCATGCATTAGGCCCTGGGTTCAATCACCAGCATGGAGCCAAAACAAAAATGTATAAATAGTATGTAGCATCAAAAAGGAATGACTCATGGCCATGTGAAACGACAGAACTGAATCATAAAGGACAAGACAAATGCGAATGCATACAGTACTATTCTACTGTAATATAATTTAAATTGGTGTTGAACTTCTGATATTTTTTATAAGCACACTTAATTTTCCTCAGAAGTTAGCATGACTTAATTAGATAATTGCAATTACTCTTTTACAATTTTACTTTTATTGGTACATGTTTGCAATATATAATGATTACATCCCTTGTGGGGAGTTATTACATGTACATGACACATCTTAATTCTTTTTTTTCATCCACTGTCCCCTCTTTAAAATGTAATGAGCCAGGTAGGATGGCACAAACCTGTAATCCCAGCACTTGAGAGGCTTAAGTAGGAGGATCACCACAAGTTCAAGGCCAACCTGGACTATTTAGTGAGACCCTGTCTCAAAAAGAGGAAAAAAAAAGTAGTGAAAGGCACCTCTATCTTGAGGGCTTACATTGTTTTCTTTGAGTGTGTACTTTACATTCTGTCTAATAAACTTTACTGAGGCATCCTGAAAATTATTTCTTTGTGATGGAAGTCATTAAACCTTCAACCTGCCCTGTGAATGGGACATGCCCTCCAGAGCTTGATAAACCAGAATCTGCCAGGACAGTTGCTTTTATCCGTTGGCTTAGAAAGCAGAGCTGCATTCCCCCATACTTGATGTAATGAGGAAGAAAGTCCCGTGAAAGCAAACTTCCTTCAAAACATGGTAGAAGACAGAACAGAGTCTGTGTTATCTGTACAGCAGCAACTGAATGAGAAAACGAAGAAATTTCAGTTATTGCTAAGGAGATGGCAATTCCTGGTAATGTGTGAGATCTTTTTTTATTTAAGTTTGTGAATTACCAGATGATTAGTATGTTTTCACTGTAATTTCAACACTCTATGGTGAATAAAGGACTACAGTAGACAATCAAGTATCCAACTCTGAAATACTTCCTTTTCAAATAAAAATATGTGCACATATGATTGGGTATCTTTTTTCTTTTGCTGTCAACTGACTTGTTATGGATTAAAATGAGACAGTGTAACAGAAGCTTTTTTGTAAAATAGAATTTCTGTGTTCCAAAAAAAATTTAAAGAGAGGTAATAGATGTTTACACTTAGTTGAAAGTGCTACTTTGGATGGTAGAATATATGTCCCTTGCCAAAGAATGTTTGTACTGACTTCATTTTTCTTTCTTGTCCAGGTCATGTATGGAATGTTGGTCTTTACATTAGTACTTCGATCTGTTTATATTGTTACATGGTAAGTACCTTGGATCATCATCAACACTATCATTAAAGTATATCTAGACTTTATAACAGTAAATCTTTAGCCTAAACTGAAATAACACATAAAACCTAACTCCTGCAGAGGTTGATAGAAATCTGTAACTTGACATTTCTTATAGTATATGGAATGCTAGTTTCTCAGGCAAGTTTTTAATTGGCATCATGTGAAAACAGGAGTTTGAAAACAGAAAAGCTTGAGAAAAGCTGTGTATGATGGCATGTTTTTGAACATGTGTATAACTTTTACTTGATATTAGAGTTTGAACAATCCTACAGTTAAAAAAATGTTGTTGTTAATCTTCCTGCAACTTACTAGAAAACCTGTTTTGCATAACACCTCTCAGGGAAGGGTATTAATGTCACAAAAAAATAGGGTTTCATGACACATAATTTGAGAAATGACCCTAATCTTTCATAAGAGTTCATGGAAGTGAAATAGCATTCATGACAGTACCTTACATAAGCCCTGGCCATACAGCAGTTCTTCACAAGAAAGCAGTGTGGTTTGTTTGTTTTTTTTTTTCTGGTTGGTTTTCTCCTTTTAAAAAACTTTCCATTTTGAGATAATTGTAGAAGTGTATGTGTTTGCAATAAATAATAGAGAGCCTCTGTACCCTTTACCAATTTTCTCCTATGGTCACATCATACAAAACTATAGTACAGTATCCTAACCAGGATTTGACATTGATAGTCAAGGTACAAAACATTTCCATCACTGTCAGGATCCCTGTGTGTTATAGCCACACCTACTTCTCTCCCACTTCACCCCTCCCCCAACCTTCCTTAACCCTTGCCAATTACTAATCTACCCTCCATTTTTATAATTTTGTAATTTCAAGAATGTTTTGTAAATACCACATGGTATGTAACCTTTCAGATTTTTTTGAACTGAGCATAATTCTCCGGGGATTAAGCCTGATTGCTGAATATATCAATAGTTCATTCTTTTCTATTGCTGAGTGGTATTTTATGATATAGATGTATTGCAGTTTAACCATTCACCATTAACCACAGGGTGACATCTAAATTATTTACAGTTTGGGGCTATCATAAATAAAGCTGCTGTGAACATCTGTCTGGTTTTTGTGTGATACAAGTTTTCATTCTGGAATTGCCAAGTTATATGAAAATTGTATTTTTGTCAAAACTGCTAACCTTTTTCTAGAGTAGCTCTACCATTTTTACATTTCCACCAGGAATGTCTAGGTGATCCACTCTCTGTATCCTCACCAACATTTATTATCATCACCATTTTTTAGTTCAGTAATTCTAATACATGTGTGTCACTGTTCCACACTTTGCATTTCCCTAGTGGTTAGTAGTGTTGAATATACCTTTATGTGCTTATTTACCATTAAAATATCCTCACTGAGGTCCTGACTTGATTCCCAGTACCAAAAAAGTATTTTTTTAAACATCCTCTTTGGCAAAACATCTACTAAGGTCTTTGCCCATTTTCTTTTCGTTCATGAAAAGACTTAATAAGGATAGTCTGTAAGGTCTGTTGTGATATTCTGTTCCATCCCTGATATTGGTGATGTGTTCTTTCTTTGTCTCATCAGCCTTGCTAGACATTTCTCAAATTTTACTGCTCTTCAAAAAACATTTTTTTTGTGCCAGGCATAGTGGCACATGCCTGTAATCCCAACCCTCCAAAGGCTGAGGCAGGACTGCTGCAAGTTCAAGGGAAGCCTGGGGTACATAGTGAGTTCAAACCAGCTTGAACTACATACCAAGACCATGTCTCAAAAACCCATGTTTTGCCAGGCGTGGTGGCACACGCCTGTAATCCCAGCACTCGGGAGGCTGAGGCAGGAGGATCGTTGTGAGTTCGAGGCCAGCCTAGGCTACAAAGGGAGCTCCACACCACCCTGAACTGCATAGTAAGACCCTGTCTCAAAAAGACCAAAAAAAAAAAAAAAAGACATGTTTTTTGTTTGACTATTTTTCATCCTTTTAGTTTCACTAATTCTCTTCCTGTTACTTTCTGTTCCTTCCTATGGGCTTGTTTTGCTCTCCTATTTCCAAGTTCTTAAGGTAGAAGTTTATATTATTGACCTCAGACTTTCCACAGTCCTCATGACATATTGGGTGCTTGTTATGGTTAATATGTTGTGTCAACTTGGGGAGTCTAGAGGTTTGACTAAGTGACTCAGCAGGAAGCCAGAATGCTTACTTTGTATACATCCTGAGCCTATGGAAGAGGAGGGCATGGAGATTATGTGAGAGCTACACGCCCCTTAGATGGGGGTAGCCTGTTTACAAAGTAAGGCAGGGAAGGAAGCTGCTTGCCGCTATTCCTCCCTTTTGCTCTGGCTGTTTGCTGTTCGGCTGCCATTCCTCCCTTTGCTCTTGTTGCTTTGCTATCTTCTGCCTCGGAGCTGGCCAAGTATGGACTGAAACCTCCACAAACTGTAAGCTAAATAAACCTTCCTTAATTTTGGGCATTGGGTATTTTGTCTCAGCGAGAGAAAAGTAACCAAGACAGTGCTATAAATTTCCCTGTCAGTACTGCTTTAGCTATGTATCACAACTTTGTTGTACTTTAATTTTCAGTCATATATATATATA